GGGGAGAAGCCTCCAAAAAGCAGGGGACCCCTGCCAAACCAGGGGGGTTGGCAACCCTAGGTCACAAGCCCCGTAGACTCTCAGCATCCAAATCTACGCAACCGGATTGCGAACAGACCAATCCGGAAAGACTCTGACTTTCAGCGGGAACAATTTTCATTGGTTCCAAGCACTCATCTTTGATTGGACGTTATTGTTCCAAGGGGTGTGGTTTTCCAGGTTCAAACTGTATACAGTTGGGTTGTTCTGTGTCTTGTTTGTCTGTGTTCTGAGCTAATAAAGAAATCACTGGAGACTGAGCCAGTGGTGCAGCACTGGGCGGACGCTCCCATGCTCCTTGACTGCTGCAGACGGGCTTGTTCCACCATGCTGAAGCCACATTGGAGAGGCTCTGCCCACTCCCCCTCCCCAGCAGTCTCCTGTTCCCTCCCTTGCACTAGTTGCTTGTGGGCCTGTCATGATCTGTGTAGGCCTCTGGAGATGGAAACCATTAAGGAAAGAATTAGTAGGCACATAGATGAACAAAACCTATTGAGGCAGACTCAGCATGGGTTCTGTAAGGGAAGATCTTGTCTCACTAACCTGTTAGTGTTCTGTGAGGGGGTGAACAAACATGTGGACAAGGGGGATCCAATATATATTGTTTACTTTGACTTCCAGAAAGCTTTTGATAAAGTTCCTCATCAAAGGCTCCTAAGTAAGCTCAAAAATCATGGGATAAAAGGACAAGTCCTTTTATGGATTAAAAACTGGCTAATTAATAGAAAACAGAGAGTGAGTATAAATGGGCAATTTTCTCAGTGGAGGGTGGTAAGCAGTGGGGTACCGCAGGGATCAGTACTTGGTCCACTGCTTTTTAACTTGTTCATTAATGATTTGGAGTTGGGAGTAAGCAGTGAAGTGGCTAAATTTGCAAAAACTAATCTGACAAAATCCATCAGATGCAGTGGCCATCACAAAGAGTTTTCCTTTAAAAAAAAAAGTTTCTACAATTCAAAAATCAAGGCTTTAAATTTTGCAAAATCAGCTACCGTGATGATGTGCAGTCATAGTTATCACACACTAACATCTATCCTAATAATTAAAAGTTGCATTCGTGATTTTGTCAGTAACATACAAACTTTTGCTGGTTCCCCCAAAACGTCTTCACAAACGTTACCATATTATTACTCTTTCAAAGATTATTGGAAAGATTCTGCCAGCAGCGATGTGAAAAGAGGCAAGGGTTCACATACAACAGCCTTACAAATGATTATTCAGAGCAGTATTGTAACACCTTACAGATGAAATAGATTAGTGCAATTTTGCATGGAAATGTCACAAACTAAGCCTTTTAATCTACTGTTCATTTTCTGGTTGCACATTCCGTGTATAAAACCCTTGCTGAGAACTGAGAAGTAACTTCATGCAGCTGACTCCAGTACATTTGTTTCTTTTAAAAGGGTGCGGCAAAGCCCTTCTTCTTCTTTTTGCGACTACACTGGCTACCCCACAGGGAGCAGTATTCAACCACTGCCCTTAATTGTTAGCCAAATTGCTCTATTATTTAATAAAGATGGGGAATTATAATTATTAATATGTAATTGGCTTATCTATAGGATCTGACCTGTGTATACCAGAGTTAGGATTCCCAAGAACCCAGGAACAGACACAGAAACTGGGTGGCTAAAAGAATGATTTCTTTACTAAACATTCTCAAGCATACAAACAATATTCAAACACTCACACACACACTATAGAACTATAAGGAAGCAGAGGTGATTGATTGATAGCTTATAGAGGGGTGATACAACCTGGTCCAGATGTGCAGAGGTCCATGAAGAAAGGATTGTGGCCTAAACTCAGAGAGTTCAGGGGTGGACTGCCATTTTGGATTATGGCAGAAAACACATGGTCTGAGGCCATGTTTACGTGTGATAAAATAAAAAATAAATTACGCTGGGATATACCCATTGGAAGACAATACAGACCAATGGGCGGTCCTGGGGGCTGATCTCAGGTGAGAACAATAGATTTCCTGGACCAATAATGAGTCCCAGGGGTGTGTGGCCTCAGGATAGGCAAGGCCTAGATGTGACCAGTGAGCTTCCAGAGAGGCACTATCTGGATTTAACAATAGAAGCCCGGTGCTCGGTGGCTAGTTGAATTATCTGACCACTAATGGTCCTCCTGGCCAGGGTAAACAAAAGGTGGGAGTTGTTGTTGTTCATTCGCACAGTCGAGACCAACTCTTCGCGACCCCATAGACCAGATCTCGCCAGGCCTTCCTGTCTTCCGCTGTCCTCTGAAGTTTGCTCAATTTCATGTTCGTTGCATCGATGACACTGTCTAACCATCTCATCCTTTGCCGTCCCCGTCTTCTTTGACCTTCAGTCTTTCCCAGCATCAGGGTCTTCTCCAGGGAGTGCTCCCTTCTCATTTGGTGGCCAAAGTATTTGAGCTTCAGTTTCATTATCTGGCCTTCCAGGGAACAGTCAGGGTTGATTTCTTTTAGGATTGACTGATCTGATCTCCTTGCAGTCCAAGGGACTCTCAAGAGTCTTCTCCGGCACCACGGTTCAAAAGAATCTGT